GTTAATGAATTTTTTCTCAATTTTTCCAATTTGGAGCTATTCATATTTTGTAATAACTAGATTGGCTTCTTTACTTAAAGTATTTTTATCATCAATAAGTTGGGATTCTTGTATTATTAGCTTCTTAAAAAAAAAGATTTATAGCCAGATCACAGAATAATTCTTTTTAGACTAAACTAAATAATCATCTAGATTTTTAAATCTATTTTTAAGTGAAGAAATAGCAAGCCTTTTTATGTAATCTTCTTTTGCTAATTCTAAAAGCCAAAGATTAAAATATGTTTTGAAAAGGCTAATATCAATAAATTTTGAATAAGATTCTTTAACTAATTCTATAATCTTTTTTGTGAATCTTTTAAGTTCTTTATAATTTATAAATTGGGCATAAGAATAAATAATATACCAACTATATTTATTAGTATTTAATAAATTTGCTAAAGCAAAAGAATTTAAAAAAAGTGTATATTCTGAAATATATTTGTACAAGTAACTAAAATTTGAAATAACAAATCTTCATGTTTAATTTTTTTACTATCTAGAAAAAGAAGTTTAGAATTAGAAGGATCTGGTTTTTGCCTTGTATTAATATTAATAATTAAGTAAAAGGGCTGGTTCCTGTTGATATATTTATAAATATCAGGTATTCTATAAACTTTACTAGAATAGTCAATTACTGTATAACTTTTTCTTGCTGTTTAAATTATATATTAAGAATGAATATCTTTAGATTAATATATATCTAAAAGTGCAGTATTATTTTTATTAGTATGACTATTAGATACAAGCTAATATTCATAATATATATATTCTTTATAGCCAAATTTATAATCAAAATCTGTTAAACCTATAAAAAGTCTTTTTGCTTTATTATATTTGGCCAACTTTTAATTTAGAACACTGTTATTGTAATAATTCATGAAGATATTTTTTTGCTTCACTAGATAAATATATTTTATTAATTTGTATATATGTGTTGTTTGATTTAACAAAAAGTATAAAATATATTAATCTATCAACTTATAATAAAAGCAATATAAAAAGTTTAATTCAAAAAATAATTATTTTATATATACAAAATTTGAAAGTTATTGTTATTAGTAATAGTATTCTATTCTTGTTCATATATTTATATTAATAAATGAATTTGTGAAAAAAATTATTATTAACAAGAGAGTTGTGCTTTTCATTGAAAAATGCAATTATGTATTCTTTGTAAAAAGTGTAGTATACCAACTACCTCTATATATAGTATATATGTTAAACATGCTAGAAAATATTACAACAAATCAAACTATTATAAAAAAAAAGCAAGCTGAATTACTTGCAAAATATAATTATAAGAATAGATATTTGCATGTAAAACAGAAAGACTATAAAATCAAGTGAGATATCTTAATATACTGTTGTATTAATATAAAGAATTTTTCTTGTTATTTGCATTTCAAAACAGAATAGAGGCATATAATTTTTTTCTAACTTTAAGCATATATATAAGAAGGCAGGATTATGGCAAGTTAAATAGATTTATTCATAATGTATATAATAAATATTTAGGCAAATATCAAAGTAGAGAGAATTATTACAGAAAAAAACAATATGAATTACATGTAAAAATTGTTATATTTAAGAATTCTATACTTGACTTACCTAATTCTAGATATAAAGTATAATTATATACCTGGTATAATATTGATTATTTTTTTTAGAATCTATCTTCTTGTAGTAACTATCTGAAGTCAGAAAAAGGTAAATAGTATATACTAATAATATATATATTTTTTTTTTAAAAGATAAGGAAGAAAAAAGAAGCTATAGATTTATGTTTTATTCACATCTATTTTTCAGTATAATTACATTATCTACAACTTATTTAATTTTTGGATATAGATATATTAACCCAAGATAATTAATTTTGATTTGAAAAAATAAGTAAATCAATACACAATTTACTTATCTGATATACTTATTATTTATATACTTATTATAACAACTGCTTGAAAAAAAAACCAAAAGTAAAACTAATAGCTTTATCTATATTTTAAATCAGATTCTTAATAAATATAACCTATTAGCCAAACTAAATTTGCTTCAATTATGTGCTTATACTAATAAGCTTGATACTATACTACCAAATTAAAGACTTATAAAAATATAAAAAAGGCTCTTCATTAGTAACAATCAAATAAAAGCTTTTGTACTAGACAAAAAAGAAAAAAACTTACTATCAAGACAAGAGCTCAATATTATGCAAAAATTAAAAATATGTAGAATATTTTATTATATACTTTAGACTTAACTGTGACAAAAAATAATATAGATAAAGCAATTATGATAGCCAGTTCTCATGTTTTACATTTTATAGAGAGTTAACAAAAGCTAGAGTTAATTTTGAAAAAATTAATATATGCTAAGTTGCTAGAAGTTATTTGAGCTTTTAATGAAATTCAAAAAAGACAACTTTCTAAAACTTTCAAATACTTTTTCTTAGAAAAAGGACTTAAAAAAGTTTAAAATATTAATACTACTAAAATTTTTACTATATAAGATCTTGCAAATGTAATTATAATATTAAGCATAAAATTTGCTAAAGTTGCTACTCTTCATATTATTTACTATAAACCTGGTGAATCGAATCCTTCTGAATGGTTCAAGCCTGATTATTTTTAGTATTATACTAGGTATATTAAAAATAAAAAAAAAGCAAAAAATAATCTTGAACCTTGGCAATTTTTATTTATAAAAAAGAATCCAGAATATACAAAAGAATTGTTTATTTAGATTCAAGATACAATAGCAACTGAAAAGTTATACAATCTTGTTTATAATATTAATAAAAAATGCAATACAGAAGTATCAGTAAATTTTAAAATCATATAGTATTATAGCTAAAAGATTAAAAAAAATTAAAAATAAACATGCTTCTAAAGTTTATAGTAGTCAAAATTCAACTTCACAACATCTTGAATTTCTTAGCAGAGTTGCAATAAGGAATAAGATAGACTGTTTTAATTCTAAAAAATATTATACTAAGAGTGATACTTTGGATTCTGATTTTGACTCAGATTTAGAACCTCTCTAGCTTCTATACCCAAGCCATAGTAAAAATACTTCCAAAATTAAGTATATTTATAACTTATATAAAAATATCTAAATTAGTTAATAGCTTATCTATTTATTATAAAAAGATAGTTTATTATCATTGTTATTTTTATTTGGTTAATAAATTACTAATTTGTAAATTATTTATAATTGCTAGTAAATTGATTAGTCCTTAGTTTATACTAAATAATTCATAAATAAACTAATTACAAAATTTAATAAAATCTGCAAATTAGATTTGTTAGTCTTTAAAGTATTTAAAATATAAAAATAAGCAAAGTATATGACTAATTGCAATATTTATCTATCTATAATACTTAATATCATATACCAACTCTTTTAATTATAAAAAAAAATTATTTTTAGATATTAGGATAGAGTCAATAGAAAAGAGACAAATCATTTTTAGTATAATTTTTTTAATTTTTAAATTAAAATATTTTAACAACTAATCAAATTTGCTAAATTTTTTTTATTTTAATTTTAAAATTATATAAAATTAAAATAAAAAATAATTATAAAATTTAATAAGATAATTATTAAGATATTTAAGCTTAAAGTTAAAAAAACTTTTACTTGAAAAAAATTTGGTCCTTTTTTATTGATTTCACCTTATATATATATCTACTAATCTAACATCTCAAAATGTTTTATATCTCAAAAAGCTTGCTTTAAATATTCTTAAGAATAGCTTACTAAAGGTTATTGCAAAAGATACTAAAGTTCTAAAATTAGATCTGTGCTCAAAGTATAAAAAAAAGCTTTTTTTATATAAACTTAAAAACTATTTATCATACTTATCTATAAATATATATACTACTATAGTTGTCTTAAGAATTATGTAAAATATTTCCCACAATGTCCTAAATATACAATAGAAATTAAATCTATTAATTATATATATTATTCTAATACTTCTAAACCTAGTTCATAGAATTAGGCACAAAATATCTTAGAATTTTGCTATAAATAGCACAAATAATATCTGATTAGAGCCAGAATATAATAACCTCAGATACAATATATATTTTTAACTTTACCTTATTATATCTCTTATTATATCTAGACTATATAAAACAGATTCAACATATTAAATCAAAATCTAAAAAAAGATTACATAAAGAAGATATAAAAAAGAATCTACAAATCTAAATAAACCAATTGATGAGTTAACTACCAAAAATTTAGATTTAGCAGAAAATATTATTATATAGTCAAGTTCAATACCTGCTGGTAAAAATAACTTTAAGTTAGTTAATTTTCTTAACTTATATTACCAGATTGTAAAAGCTAAAGATGATAGTAAAAAAACTATTTAAGATATTATTAGAGCCTATTATAATTTTGGCTATGATCTTAAATAATATTTTAAATACTATAAAAAAAATCACAAAAACAAGTTGCTCAAATCCTAGTAAATAATGAAGTTAAAAGCCAATTTCCAAAAGAGATAAGTAATAGTGTATTATACAAAAAAACAGAGCAAACTTGAAAAATATATTATTTTTTTGATACTATTAGTAAAAATAAAATAGATAAAATCAGATCTTCTAATACTTCATCTATTTTTAAATTAAGTCAGGAAAATATCAATTATGTAATACTTAGCATTATTAAAAAATCGAAATAACACATTACTATGCCAGGTGTAACTATGATACTAGTGTTACACTCTTTTTAGAATAAAATATTTACATATTATATTCTGGTCTAAAAAAAATAAAGTGGAATAAATATAGAAGTTTAATTGTAAATAAGTCAAAACACAAGTACTATATAGGTTTGTATAATAAATTTTAGCTATATATAGATTATTTTTTTCTGTTAATATATAGTAATAAAAAATTCAAATAATATATTTGTATATAAAGATATATCAATAGTAGCATATCTCTATCCACTTATATATATGCTTGTGTCTATATTAATATAGTAATCTACTGACTTCTTGTAGATTTCTACTTGAAGCCAGAAAAAGAAGTTAACAACACCTAATAACTATTTATTTTTTTCTGAACTAGAGAGGAAAATTATTATTCATACCTGTATTGCAAAACATGCAAAAAAGTAGCAGATATAATATAAAAAATATTCTGTACTTGATAATATATATACTAATTAACTTATAGCAATTGCATGGTCTCATATATAATTGTTTCCTATATATAATTTGTTTTATATCAAAGATTAATATTGTAGTTTCTACTTTACAAGATGATTAAAACTTTATTTATTAATAAATAAAGCAAAAAAAACTTTCATGTATAAACAACAAAAGTGATTAGTATAACTTCAGTATTTTGCATAATCCAAATACAAAACCTAAAACAGCTAGATAATATTATTAACATGATGCTAACTTGTACAGAAATTTCACCAATTGTTCTTTCTCATTCATATAATCAAAAGAAATACTAAAATATTTAAAAATAAAGCCCAAGACAATTATTTTATTTACTACCCAATCTTTTTTATAAATCATAATTTTGTTATAATTATGCAGTCTTTTTGATGATATATGACACAGGCCACTAATATATTTCTTCATGGCTTTTATATTTACATTATTTATCTCATATATGTTTATCAGGTATTCTTTAAATTATTGATTATTGCTTAGCTTTTCTAATACTTTATTGATAAGTTTATATATTAGAGAATCTTTAACTTTCTTGTGAGAAATCTATTGTAAAAAATTATAATAAATAAAATATAAAAAAAAAAATTAACACATAAAAACTTACCCAATCATGAATATACTCCAAAGCTGATCTAATATTACAGACTTTTCGAAGTTTAAACACTTCTTCTGAACATCTAATAAAATTAGATTCATCATTTTTTTGTTTTACTATTAATTTAACTATCTCTTCTTTATGCTCTTTATTCTTTGCTTCTAATTTTTGTATATACTCATTATATATTTTCTTTATCTCCACTTTACTCTTATTATATATTTTCTTACTCTCATTGTATATTTTCTTCATCTTCACTTTATTCTTAGCTTCTAATTTTTGTATATATTCATTATTCTTTGCATCTAATTTTTGTATATGTTCATTATATATTTGCTTTATTGCTAGTAAGTCCAATACAATCAAATTTTTTAAGTATACAGATGTGACTAAACTATGAGCTTTCGCTGACTCTTTGGATGAGTTAGCAGGTCTTCTGTCAAAACTCTATTATTTTTTTCTTTTATAAAAGATATATTTAAAGAGAAAGATTATTTTTGTATTTTAAAGTTAACCAAAATTCTGGTTGGCAAGCATCAAGACAAAGGAATTATTTCAAGTTCAAATTGAAAGAGTAATCAGATTATTGTATCTTTTATTTTAGGTAGCACATCCACAAAAATTTTTTTTTTTTTTTTTTTTTAATGTTAAAGGTGAGACCATGCTCTTATCTTTATTAAACT